AGAGAGGCTGCAATCAGGGCATTTATTTCTGGAGAGAGACATTTAATCCTCCCAGGCTCAGAGTTTTCCGGAGGTGCCAACATTTGAAAGCAATTACTGGGGATTTGGAGGGGGATTTATAATAGTCTCAACCAATTTATTAGAGGGAAACAATTGTAACATTGAAGAAGGGAGGGGGAAGGGCCCTTCTGAGTAAAGACACTACTTCATCATTATTTGGTCGCATCCAGAGCATGATGGACTGTGACTTTTCCTGAAGTGGGTCTACACTGTGCAAGTTTACAACATCTCCTGTTTGTATGTACACAGTTAAAATTAATTAAAATGTGGTATATCTACTTTGGGTGAATAAATGACTGACCAGCCTAAAATAACAGCACAGGACTGGTAAACTAACCCAATGAGTGTGTGAAAATAAACCTAAAGCCGTAGAAAAAAATACTTATGGTGGGTTTCTCTACATAGCTCTGCACCACAGTAGTTAATTGCTGGGCCTGAAGGACACAATCCTGCAAACCAAGAGAAATGAACAGGTTTACTCACATGAGTGGTCCCATTGTACATGAAAGTAGTGAAGCTACTTGTGTGTTTAAAGTAATTATGTTCATATGGATTTGAAAGACAGGGCCCAATATGAATAATTTTAATGTCTTGTTGGTTTGGACAACTTTGCATCAAAAGGGCACTGCTATGCTATCCCAATTTCATAATCAAATAAGTTATAAACCAACATGCAAGGAAGAGTAGTAATTTTGTTCTGTCTGACTAAGCAACATGGACCAAAATCTGTTGTTAATTTCTCCACTGTAACACTCCATAACACTAGAATGATATGAATTATATTGAACATAACACATTTGTCCCATGCAGTCTTTCTGTGGAAAATGGGGAAAGGGTGTGCATATAGTACTTACTTTGCTTGGAAGAAATACAGACATTTCTTACCCTTCTTGGAGGATTATCAGAAAATATTTGAAAGATTACAACTGATTAACAAAGTATGCATGTTCTTTTACACTTGTCTGGTTGCATTTAAGTAGAAGTACAGACCCCCAAAACACAAATGGGAAAGCAAAGCAATACATGTAGCAAGTGGCTGTAATATATGTTATGTACAATACGTAGCAGTAATTTGCAAGTGGCTGTAATATATGTTATGTACAATACAACTGGAAATTTCCAGGGCACAAATCCACTGGGAAATCCCTCAGTTATTCATTAAAGCCCCTCCTCCCCCTTTGTACACACTTTTTGTGGCCTAGTATTTTTTCTTTCCATGTTTATTGACACTCTCTCACTTAAATGTGCTTATTTGCACATGGACACATATATATAGACACACAGAAACATGTGTATGCATGCACCAACCATTCAAATAATAACAGAAAGGCATTCACTTTATGCTCTAGTCTTGCTGAACAAGGCAAGACTATAATGTCTAGATATGCCATATGGCTTCTTTCATTACTCAGAATTTAAAAAGAAATTGGAGGCTGATCCTGCATTTTTTCACATGAAAGTTTCTATTGATTTCAGAAGGAGTTGCATATCCAAAACAAGTACCAGCTCAGTACCAATACTATAATAATGTTGGGCATGGCAAGCTTCCTTAAGGATCTGTTTGGGAGTCCTGTCAGGGCAAATGAAATGATTCAGTCAGTAGCAGTACCAGGGGACTAGACTTTATTATTTCCTTTATCATCCTGTTCTGTAATTCATCAGAAGGTTATTGCTACCTTATATCAGGTATGTGCACACACACACAGAGGATCCGTATTTCTTGCAAAGTAAAGCATCAGAGTGCTCTGCGTCATCTTGCATGATTATGACCTCCTATGTAGTGGCTACTTCAGACTATGAATAGCCCAATGGCTCTGCCTTTGCAGGGCATGGATGTAGATTCCATATCCCCAATTGACCTGCACTCCAGCTGCATAAAACCTGAACTCTCAGGCTCTTTCTGGGTCTAGTGAATTTCACTCATGAGTAATTCTACTGAAGTCACTAGAGAGATGCACATGCCTAAGGCCTACTTGCATGTGTACCGTGTGCAGTAGGTTCTTAGACACTGCGGAGATGGCGACAATATAAGTCAGTAGATTAGATAGTAAAAGGAATGTAGTCATGTGATGACTCACAGCTCCAACTTTAATGTTTCCAATAGAAGTTGCAATAGATTTAGGAGTGAAAATAGCATCAGTATAAACATATTTTTCAATTTTTTGTCATTGCTGGCAAGAGTGCACAAAAATTATAACATACATTTGTTCTTTTTAGTAGAGCATCCCCCAGCTATTGTAATAAAGGTCTTAGTTAAGTTATGTAATTAGATGTTTTTGTCTATGCATGTGTTTCCATTTCTTTGGGTTTTGCCAATAAATACTGCTGGGTTTGATTGCATCAATACCAATACAGATACAAGCCTCATCAAGAACAACAGATGGATTCAGTAGGAGCAAACTGTCCTTTCACATCAGGTGAAATTCACTCCAGTGCCAAGAGCCAGCACAAGGGTTTCACATCCCTTATTTCTCATTTACGCCCTATATTGAAGACTTACAGCCAACACAGGCCTTGTTGCTGGTCTCTGCACAGGAATGATTTTTTCCCTGCATGGTTGTAGTTTCA